CTTTTCTTACATTCCGATGAAATTTTATAATGCTCTGCTTTACTCTCTTTTTCGCCTTTCTCTGCATTTCATTCGGAAATAATCCGATATGTTCGGCTTAAATCATAACTTAAATTAATGTTTGTATATTTTATCCAACTATTTAGAATGAATAATTATGTTATTATTCACTTTTCTCTATTGAATCTTGCTCTCTTTTATACACTTTATATATTGGTAAAACTAATTGTATTATTTGTATTAGACTGCCTGTATTTCGAAATATTAAAATGTACTCTGATATTCTCATACGACTTCAACACGACTTCAAATCAGCTGCTTAGCTGTCGTTCCGTTTATTGTTGTGTAGCTGATATCGAATATTATTGTATTCTATCTGTCTTTATTTGTATTTAATGTTAATAGTTACACTCAATAAAATTATTAAAATTTTTTAAATAAAATATAAAAAACAAGAAAATTTGTAATCATATATATTATAAAAATCATAAAAATTACATAAGAATGTAACAAAAGAAAAATTTAATTAATAAAATTAATTGGAAGTATAAACGAATGTATGTGAAAGCCAATAAAATAAGAATTATAGTCATTAGAAAAATATATTAAAATCTTCTATCTTTTAAAAAATATAAAGACAATAAAAATGACAAGAAAAATACAAGCTGAACAAGTAATAAAATGGTGCATACATGCAAGAAATAATTATAATAATTATAGGTATTCTAAGAAAAGCTTTGTCAATGTTTAAAATAGCAATTGTATTATTAGATCGCACTATGAAATATTCTACTGATATAATTCTTAATAATTATAATGAAGTTTTATGTGGAATATGTACATACATCTTCCACTGAATCATACTTTTTTGAAATTAGTTATAAATATATAACATTACTGAACCGTTTCTAATAACTGTTTCTAAATATAATGAATGAAAATGGATAGATTACTAACATTAACACCAATAAAGCGAACACATAACATAAACAGAAACATAACATAAACAGAAAAATATAGCATGGAAATGTAGATTTCTATGTAAAGGAAACGATGTATTCTTAATTAATCTCTTCAAAAAATTTCTCATTACAATATCTAATTGTTCAACAATAAGAAATGTTCCAAAGTTTATCAAATCAATAGGTGTATGTATAGTTAAATAATCGGGAAAGCTAGCATTCACAAGCATAGACATAGACCATCAATTATGTAAATCTAAATTGTTAGCATTATATTTTTTGTCACTACATTATCTTACAGTAAAAAATATGCAGAGACTCACACGTTGTTTACAATATTATTACAAAAACTTTTATAATTAGATGAAGCATTATATCTTGGAAATGTACAAATTCTAAAAACAAGTTATGAAAACTACACGTAAGGAATGTATACCTAAATAAGGATGAAATAATGTAAAATATTCGTCAGCTTTTATTTTTTTAACTAAACGGATAATGGATACATCACGATTCGTATGTTTGTGATATAAAAATATTTGTATTTTCAAAGAAATATTATTGATGGAACAGAATTTAGAAAGCCTTGTTCGCCAATATATTGATAAATTGATAAATTATAAAATTGATAAATTAAATATCATATTTAAATATCAATTTAACAAATCCATTTTATATTTGTAAATATTGTTTAATGTGTTTTTGTATTGATTTCTTACGCCAACGTATATTTTAAATAATATGTACGTTAATAAAATACCTGACTACATTAAATAATTAAATAATTATGAAAAGATTTTAATGCAAAGAGCCAAAGCTTTTCAAATAATACAAAAAAATCAGAATAATATCAGAGAAAACTCACATATATTCACAAAAAAGTTAAAGGCAGAATATTTCATTTACTATTACTGATAGAGGAAACAATAAACAAAATTTATTCGCTAACAAAAATAATAAATTGTAATCATGAATTATACATTTTAATTCGTAGTGTCCTAACAAAATAGTATGTGAAAATTTAATAGATGTTAAAAAATTGTATGACGTACTAACATGATTAAAAAAACATAATATATGCACAAATTTAATTACCAATTTCGAATAAAAATTAACTAAAGAATTATATACTGAATATTAAATGATTCAGTTCAACATGTTGCATTATTAACACAAATTAATGATCCGGAAACGTATTACGAACAATTTATTTTTTATCTTATTTATTATTTATCTTATATACGAAAAAAAAATAAATGAGATTCCAAGCTTTATATCAAATGTTAAAAACAGGATTTACCAATAGATAATCGATATAAAATATTAGATCTGTTATGTTTTCCAGACTTATATCCGTTTGATGAAAATGGTCAGTTTCAATGCATCCTGTTTCCAGAGTAATAAATTCACAATAGTTGTTCACAATAGTTATTGTTTACGAGCAAAAAATGTAAAAGTGGGATTACTAGATTCGGATTTTCACGTCCAGTCACAAATATAATATTATTAATATTAAAGAATTTAATAGTCTCAATTGCTGGTAGAAAAAGTTTAAAAGTAGATTGTCTCCCATGTAAAAAAACAGAAAAAGATATTAATGATTACAACCCTACAATACTTACTGCATAGGATGATAATATGTAATTTACTGGAGAAAAATCAATTTTATTAAATTGGTAACGTACAAAATATACAATCAACTTTGAATCCAATTACACAAACAATACATTTAAAGAAATTAATTCAACTAAATCATTACGTAGTCGTCTTTAAAATTTTGCAATGCATAATTTAAACAACAGATAATGTAGAGCTTTAGAAGATGTAATACTCTTTTTGATATTTCATTATATGAAACTGATCCCAATATAATTAGATGGTTAGATGTGAATCAAGTCAGAAATCGAAAGATAAACTCAGAAAAGAAATTGAGTCATTAATTTTCTTAAAATTATTTTCTATATTTTTAATAAATTCTAATAATGTTCTTTTTTTATTAAATGAAAGTAACACGAAGTTTTCCTCTAATTGTAACAAATATTGAACTTTTTCAGGAATTGAATCAGAAATTGTAAAAGATAAATTTATGAATCAACCTTCTTTGATGTTAAATAATGAAGACTTTGATATTGTTTCAATAAATTTAATAGGATCTATTTTAATGTTAAAATGATTGTTGGAATGACAAGAATTGGACAGACAATTGATATTGAGTATTTTGGAAATCCGAGATTTGGAAATCCTAGTATCAATCTGATTCGGATTATTCAATACATGATAGTAGATCGGAGATAACCATAAGCTTAAATCCGCTGTTTGCTCATAGGTGGCATTAGTGAGCGTACAAAGCTACTCTGGACACAATACACTTTTTTGTATGTATTTGACATCTGTCAACATTAACCAGTGCACATCATCAGCAATTTCATACAACAACATACATTTTTTCTTTCGTAATCATGTTTAGTTTTTTGCTAAAAAAAAAGCATATGCGGGAAGCTTTGCTTTTCTGTTTCAATTTGAAGAAATCGGCTGCCGAATCGCATCGAATGCTTGTGGAGGCCTTATAGCGACAATGCTTTATCGGAAACAACGTGCAGAGATTGGTTTCGCCGATACAAAGACGACAATTTTAACCTGAGTGACAAGAAGCGTGAAAATCGACCCAGGAAGGTTGAGGACTGTCAATTGCAGGCTCTTTTAGACGAGAATGATACTCAATCGTCTCAAAAATGCTTGCCGAGCAATTGGGTGTTTCTCAAGCAGCTATTTCCATGCGGTTACATGCCATGGGAAAGGTTTAAAAGATCGGAAAATGGGTGCCGCACGATAGGCAGATGGAGCGACGCCAAAACACTTGCCAAATTCTGCTTGCCAGACAAAAAAGAAAGTCGTTCCTGCATCGGATTGTGACAGGCGATGAAAAGTGGATCTATTTTCAGAATCCTAAACGCAAGAAATCTTGGATTGATCCCGCCCAATCATCAACATCTTCCTCAAGACCAAATCGCTTCGGACAGAAGACGATGCTGTGCGTTTGGTGGGATCAGAAAAGTGTCATCTACTACGAGCTGTTAAAACCTGGTGAAACTGTTAATGCTCACCGCTATCACTAACAACTGATCAAATTGCACCGTGCTCTGCGTGAAAAAGGCCGCATTATCGGAAAAGACATGACAAACTGATTTTCCTCCACGACAACGCACCATCGCACATGTCAACAATGGTCTAAAACTACTTGGAGACACTCAACTGGGAAGTGCTATCCCATCCCGCTTACTCACCAGACCTGGCACCTTCTGACTATCACCTGTTTTCATTGATGGGCCATGCGCTCGCTGAGCGGCACTTCGATTCTTATGAAGACGTCCGAAAATGGCTTGATGAGTGGTTTGCCATGAAAGATGAGGAATTTTTTTGGCATGATATACACAAATTGCCCGAAAGATGGGAAAAATGTATAGTTAGCGAGGGCAAGTACTTTGAATAAATTTGTTTTTGCTTCCTAGGAAAAAAAAATGTGTTTTTCTGACTAAAAAACAGCGGATTTAAACTTATACACCTGTCTCTTTTTTCCAATTACAAATGATACACTCCACCATGATTTTAAGATATCAACTATTAAAGAAACAATCGAGGAATGTTGCTTGAAATATTGAGATAGATTAAGAAAACAAATAATTTCGCTACCAACTTTAGGTTGTGTAACAGAAGAATAGTGTGAAGGATTAAGAGGAAGATACCTATAGATCTACTAACCTAATATGTCAGTAATGTACTTCTAAATAGCATATTTGGAAGATTGTGAATATACTGAATGTACTATATAAGAATATGACATTGATCATGTACCTTCCCTGACATCTATATTAAGACGAATGTATTGCTGAATGTTCTATTGATAGTAATAGTTGCAATAATATTGGATATTAAAAAAAAACATCATGTGCTGCTATAAAAATTGAAGATTTTAAATTTTCTTGCAGCCATGGTAGGTGCATCAATTATGCATCTGATTTTTGCCTCGACATTACTTACCGGTATCTGCACAAATGTCCCGTTGTTTAGTTGGGGATACGAGTACAGTGGTATCACAGGCACGGTATTGTTTTTTAGAAAGATTGGACCCTGGATAGGCGTGACATGCGTGTTCATCGGTATGTCATGATCTTCATCATCATAGTAATCATCGAAATCGTTGTCGTAATCCAATACGGCGTGTACCGAAGTCTTAGTATCAGGATCGATGGAGCTCCCGCCATTGACATTTGTGTAACTTTAAACAAATTTAACTGAGTATCAATAGTGGTGTGTCGTATAAGTACTTACAAATAATTACCGCATGTATACGTATACGTAAGATAATAGTTTATTTGAAAGAAAAAAATATTAAATGTTTCACGAAAATTATTACTTTGAAGGGTTTTTGAAACATATTTACTAGTTTCAAAATGCTGTATTTGCTTTAATGAAAAAAATCAATTTTTTTTAAATGACACGTCATGTTGCATATACACAATATCATATCATATTCAGAAGAACAATAGAGATTTAATATACAGTATAACTTTTTTAACTGGTATGATTGTGAATTGTTATTTCTTAGCTTCATTTTTTTCGTTTTCCATTGAGTGTAATGAATGCTGCATTTCTACCAATCTGGAACTTGTTCTCAATATGAAGGATGAATTTTGAATTTGTAATCGCTGATGAAAACAAAGTGAGCCGAAACGTGAAATAAAATGAAGATAACTATTAACATCTGAGGATTATCTACTTCTTCTATCTCTTCGTATTGTTATGTCCATATCTTTAGAAATTTTAAATTTATGATTCTATTGGAAAGAAGAAGAGCAGAAATGATGAGGGTATCTGGAAGGACGGTCAGAATTTTGTCTCGCAGGCACAGAGGCGAGTACCGCGAGTCGAACGCACCTCTTTGTGCTCGCCTCGGAATAGATCAACTGCAAAGATGCTATAATATCTATTTCCTACGAGCAATCATCGGTCCGAATTTCGAGTCAAGGAATCTAATCTCTTTAACTCGGGAGTGGACCACATGCGATCTCTAAAAAGGCAAAGGTAACGACAATGAGATTTTAGGGTTTTAAATTTAGAGAACGAAAGAAATGTAAATTATTAACATTGTTTATTATTACTAATCATTATCAATCTATCATTATCGAATTACAAGTTCAATACAGTACAATTACAAAAGATAAAGAAAAAAATTATACATTAATAAATTTATTATTATGAAGTAATTTACACATTAATTAATATTACTAGTATAAAAAGAAAGAAAAATTTACATATTGAGATAATTGTTATTAACTATTTTCAAGTTATTAAATCGCCAGAGAATGAAGTTTTAGGATGAGCAGAGCTGACAGGTTTAAGTATATTCTATTTCGTGTATAGTGATACAGGAAGGAGGAAAAAGATTGAAGAAGAACCGGAACTAAATATAGATAGGTGGAATTCAGAATAAACATCAGAATATGAGAATGAAGAAATTGGCCGTAATTCCACGCTGAATTTCTTGTGAATCAAAATAATGGCGCCCGATTGTAAAAATCCCCTCGAGAATAGGTTCGGTAGTTCGCGGGAATTGTCTAACGAGTGACTCAAATGAGTCACTTTCTTCAATGAGGAAATAGGATCTCGGTGGTGGAGGAGGAATTTCTTCTAGGAACTCCACACTGTCCATGGAGTTCGTAAGAGACAGAGTTCCTCTGGAGGAAAATGGGATTGAGATGACAAATGAATCAGGTGTTAGCAAAAAGGTGTCAGAGAAAATTCGCTCTATCAGAATCCGAAAACGCGAGTGACGGAAATCGAAGAGGAAGGAGTTTGAGGGGGAGATGAAGGAAAAGGAGGAAGTATCACCTCTAATGCGTTTTCGGTTAGCAGGTAGAGCGGCGAAGCCAGTGGTGAAAACAATTCTCAGCTGGGTGACTTCGATCCCAAAAAGCCTCAAAGTACTCTTCGTACGCTTGGTTGTCCGCGCTTTACAGTAAGCTCGGCTTTAAGCCAACCCTGGTGGGGGCGGTTTAAGCGTGGCACTATAATTTGCGTTGGATTAGATTTTGCAGTGAATATACGGATATATAAATTAAGAAGGGACTTACTACTCTGCAAGTTTTTGACTTTTGAGGATGACTGTCGGAGGTCCGATCTCTGTGATTGTAGAATTCCAAGGGAAAGGTTGATCCAGCGATTTGGCTTCGGTCGAATCACTTGACAGAAATAAGCAAATAAGATCGCTTGATCGAACTGATTGCGGCTCACTACTAAAATCGGTTAACGATCTGATTGCGGACAGAGTGTCAGCTGGTTAAATAACTTTTATTGTATAGATGCGAACTGGCAGAGTTTCGTGTCGGAGATGAAGTTTGACTAGCTGATTGTTCGCAAAAGGCCTCCTTTTTATATTCGCAAATTAATAATGCAGGCCTTGCGTACATTACTGTCTAATCTAGGATTAGGATTAAGGATATCGGTGAAATGGGATAATAGTAATACCATATGTGTAATAAAACAACTTCCGTCATCGACCATTTGCTCAATAGCTTAGAGACACGTGTGTCATTTACAGACAACTGCTGCTTTCAATTTGTCATTCTTAATTTATTTATTTCTTCTGTTCCTCAGGATAAAATTCGTCTATTCAAGTTCAAATATTTAATCCAACAACTTCGTCTCGAATTTAGATTATTTAGATTATTTAGATTATTAGTCTAAAAAGTCTAAACATTATTCGGAAGTTACTATTGTAATTTTCTATGATAGAAACAGATGGTCTACCGGTTTCTTGTTAATAACTTTTATGGTGATGAGGAAAATTCTAATCGAAGAAAAGAACTGTGGAGTCTGGACGTAACAGCATCTACAAAGTGTATGACTCATTAGCCTCAACTGAATTTTATTATTTTTTATTGTTATTATATAAAATATTTTGTTTATTCCCCCTTCCCCCCAGCGAATGCTTGCATTAATACTAGCAAATGTTTCCTTCCTTAAAGCAAACAACAAATATATATAGGGTGTCCCGAAAGTTTTTGCCAATCGCTTTTGTGTAGATAGAGCGGAATAAACTGAGTCGAAAAATCCTCTATTATTTTGCAATTTTTGCATTAGTTAATAAGATATTAATTATCAAAGATTGCCAATATTGATCTTGAATAATTTTTTAATCAAATACTATCAACTTTACAGAAAAACTGCAAGAGACAAAAATTATTTATTTTCTTCTCATAGAACTCTAAGAATTTTTTATCAACTTTTCTAAGAACTCGAAATTTTTTATCAACTTTTTAGTTTTTATCAACTGCATTTTTTTATTCTTACCAACGTGAGAAACGATATTAAAAAATTTTGGCGACAGAAAAAGATTTTGGCAATAGGATCGATACAATCAGGCAGTCTTTTGAGCAAGGATTCACCTCGTGAATCCGTATAGATCTCCGAGTGACGCGTGTTTAATTGCATACAGTAAACATATAATCATTATCAGTGACTCAGAGGGAAATTCCGTTCTTAGGTGGCATTCTTTCGACTCAATCTAGATATAACATTCTATTACAAACAGGCGAACCATCCTTAGGCGTTGTTGCGATATGCTTATCTAATTTACCGTGATTCATTCTACTACGATAGTTGAGTTCTTGTGATTATTGTAAATAGATAATTTGAATTTTCAAAATACATTGCGCAATACATTATATATATAGACTTAAAATAAGCTTTTTTACGCGAAAAGACAGTGTGAATAAAATATTAGTAGTATTCTTGCAGATAGACTGAATACACACACACACACACACACACACACACACACAAGTTGAGTAAAAATTTCCTGGATCGGTGAAATGAAACTTCGAAAACTAAGCATTTTTTAAAAAATATGTCCTACAAAAGTTGTTGATTGTTAAATGATCTATTCACTGATCTGGCCAGTTTTATCTTGAGTGGTATCACCAAGGTTAGGTCAAGATCATATCGATTTTTTTAAATAATACCTATTTTTAATTCCAGAATCTAATAATGTCAAAAACTTTTCAAAATATTATAATAAAATTATTTTTCATAAAGTACTTTTCGAGTTATAAAACTTGAAAATTGCAATACCGTCGGCATTACGCAAGGTATCTGATAGTTAAAACTGAATATTGTTTAGGATTATGTTTTGGATAACATTCGTTAAGATCGTTACGATCAATTCGTTAAGGAAATCAATTCATTGGAAATTTGTTCTCTTATTTTCATTTTTACACTGAAAGTTCATTTTTATGTAAAAATGAATATATGTTTTTATTTATTAATATTCTTATAAATCTATTTGTGATTATGAGTGCACTTACTATTCTCATCTATGACTCGGGCACGTCAATTATCTGCTTTAGTATAATCTCCTTCGTCATTTTCATTATAGCCCGTTTCATGTGACTTAAGATTTGCAAGAAATAAGTATAATTTCGATCGAACGTCGCCGTCTTGGACGAGCTCGTTTGACTATTCTATTATTCTTGTCGTCTCGTTCTTGATAGAGAATTAACCATTGTAGATCTTTATTTACAATAATTCACAATCTTTTTTTTTTTTATTTTAATACTGAGCTTACAAAGTGGTCATTCGATGATTGAATAAGTCTATTATATCTCATCAAAGTCTGGGATTGTTGCTGCTGTTCTGTGAATAGTAGAAGCAACAACTTCTTTCCTAAACGCAGAAGATATGCATGCTTGGTAGTACAAGCAGAAAATTATTCAGTATCGATACCTGTTTTTGATAACAAGGATTTTATGAAATAGTATACATTAAGCAAGCTCTCAATATTAAATACAATATTACAAAAATAATAGGCAATTAAGAGCTAAGCTAGTACATATTATTATTAATGTTACAATTCTTCATTATTCTTCACCTGCACATATATTTCCGATATTTTGGTTTTTTTCAGCCATCTTCATAGTATAACACTAGGCTTAATAATCCAAAATTTAAATGTAATTATTCTGAATGTAGGCGTAATTAGTCAATCCAGAATAATTCTCCATTTGATCATATAAATAGTTTTTCTTAACAAGTCAAGATTTGTAAGATCTAAATACAAAATCCTATTATACATTAACAAAATTGCTTTTTATATTTAAAAAACTCATCGTTGTATTAAGAACTTGTACTCTCTTGTTACGCACTATTAAGAATATAAATTATATAAAATTTGTCGATTAGACGTATGTTTTCGTTCGTGTCTACGTAACGTTTAAAATT